GCGCCCCCCTCGCACGCAATAGCCTCGCGACGCTGAAGCATTCCTCCGTCGGAGCCGGCGCGCCCATTTGATGCGCCTGCAAGGTATTCAAACAGAAAAGCTCACACCTTGGAACATCGCTTAGTCCGAAAGCGAAGTCGAGGTGCCTCGCGCCGTCGTCGAGCATGTCCTAGAAGCTGTTTCCGGCCAAATTCTGAACGTTGCAGGCCTGCAACTTACTGAAAGCCGAACGCATTGGACTAACCACTCGCAAGCGTCATGCTTTTCTTTTGATTATCTGCTCAGCTGTCTGCCTCGTGGCCCCGCTGCTGAAATCACATGGGTTGCTGTGTTCGTCGCGCGCAGTCATATCCACGGCCGAGCAAGGCATTGCTCTCGTCGTGTCTGCCACGCCTGTTTAACCGAAAAGGGTCGCGTCTCAGTCGCGCGCGCCCAGACGTCTCGCTGCCCCTTGCCGTGCAGCCATGCCGCCCTTCCCACTTCATTGACTTCTCTGTCCATCTGGGCCCCTGACCCAGCGAATCGCAACGGTTCGCACTTGCGCCCATTCACTGTGGGCTCTGCTTACTCCTCCTTTTACCTCGCCGCCCGATTCCAGTGCGCGTCGTTCTTTCTTCCGTCGGGTTGGTCTCCTGGCCCAGGCGCCCCGCCAATGTCCTCTTCCTCCTCCTCTCGACCGCAGGCGTCCTTGATTGCGTTGTGCCGGGGTTTGGGGGCATGCCTTCATCAGTAGCTACGCCCTCCTCTAAATCGAATGCAATCCATCCTGCCCGCTCCCCCATCCCAACTCTCGTTCGTCGACCTCGTTCAATGCGTCGCAAATTTCTCTCGGACATCCGATTCCCGTCGAAACTGCGCGACTTGCGCGCGCGTAACCCAGTTGGTCTCTTCGCCCAGTGAGGCTGGTCGGCGGGCGCCTGCAGGGGGCGCGACATCTGGCGCGCGGTGCCCCGCGCTGTCTCATGGCCCTTCGATTCCTAATGGTCCATGCGCCCGAGAGCACAGGAACCTGATCTTCCCTGGCCATCGTGGAGATTGCCTCTTCTTGCGAAGTTTAGCTGGGACCTGCCTCTCGAATATCCGTTGTGTCTTGTTGTTTCAACCGTTCGACGGCGCGCGCGCGGCATCCGGCGCAGCGCGGCCCGTGGCTAGCGTCTGCGCTCACTATGGCCTCGCAGCCGCGGCGTCCGGGCGCAGGCCCTGCGGCGTAGTTCTTCGCTCGCTCGACTGCTAATCCCCCCTGCGTCAACGATGGGTTTGCGCCGAGGTGGCCGGGCGAACTCCAAGTGAGCTTGGCGCCCCCGCAAGGCGCGGCCAGAACTGAGCCCCCTGGCCCCCCTCCTCCTTCTCGCCGTTCTTTCCTTCCGACCGCGTATAGTCCGCGGTGGCAGCGGGCCACGCGGAGCTCCGCCCCCTAACCTCCTCGGAGCAGCGTCTCCTCCGAGCCGCCCCTCTCGCGCAATAGGGGCGCGCGCCGCGTTGTGGGCGTCTACTTCGCCGTGGTCGGGCGCCGAATCGCAGCGCGCCCTCCTGGGCGCCTCAACTTCTTCAATTGCGAACGCGTCGTCGACTCGACGGCTCAGACTCGCGGGCCCGGCCCCCGTCGCCCCCCTCGCCAGATGCCCCGGAGATGACGCACGTTTGCGCGGATCCCGCGGGAAGCAGAAGAACCGGAGGGCAGGCCCCCCGCCACGGCACCCCGCCTCGGAAAACCTCCTTTGTCCGCAACTTTCTCGACTGCTTTTCAAAGGCCCTGGCTCCGCGATCCCGCTCGCGGCGCGCGCCGAACTGCAGCGTGGCGCCTCGCCCCTGGGCCGCCGCCCGCTGCCCTGTCGCCCTGTTTTCCATTGTCGCGACTGCACCGGCGCCCCTCCGCGTCGCGATCGAGCGCGACCTGGCCCCTTGCAGCGACCATCTCCCGGGCAGAGCGCCGCGCGCCGTGCGCGTCTGAAACTTGCGCGGGCGCACTTACTCGCGCCCCTTGTTTGCCATCCCCCGCAATGATCTTCTGTCCGCAATTCCTGATCGCCGCCCTGCTGGCCTCGCAGCAGCGCCAGCCCTCTCGCAACCCCTTCGCGGGCGCCACTGGGCGGCGACTTCCCGAATTTAGGGGGCCCCGCCGCGTTGCGCGCGCCCCCGCCCGGCGACGTTCGCTACCTCGCGCGGCCCCGGAGATTCCTTCGCGGGGACAGCGTTATCTTCGCGACTAGCACCGGGGGCTTCTGCCAATTGCGCTGCAACGCATTTGCGCCGCGAGTCCTCTCCCGCCTGCAACCACTTCCATATCCAATGTTGCCAGCCACTGCCGTTGCCGCGACCGCTGCAAAGCGCGCTCTTTCCATGGTGTTGCAATGGCGCTGACTGCGCCATTGGTTTGTTTTGTTTCTCGCTCGGCACCGCTGAGGCCGCTCGTCTCACCGCGGTGCATCGCGGGGCGCGCCCGCCCCGTGAAGGCCTGGCGTTGGCTGCCCCAATGAAATAATTTGCGCCCCCGCCGCTCCTCCGCGGCTGTCTGCCTCTGGTCGCCGCCCCATGCGTTGCCCCGCCGCATGCGTTCCCTTCTGTCTATACACGCTGAGCCGCGACGCGCCCTTTGATTCTCTGCGCGCGTGCCCTTCCCGAGCGCTCGCGGGTGGCAGCGCGTCTTTGCCCCGTCCTCCCGGCACTTTGCCGCCAAAGCTGCCGTTGCCATTCCCTGTCCAATGTCTTTCGCCTCTGACATTTTGCCCGCGCAGCATCTGTCTTGTGGCGCGCGCCTCCTCCTTCCCAGCCGTTTGAGACGACGCGCCCGAACTGACTGCGCTTGTGGAATTTGAACCAACCCCTTCGCTCCACCCCTATTGCCCTTGACTGAATCCGCAACTTGACGCCCGTAAATATATCCCTCGCGCCCCCAGCTGATATCGTCCGACTACCAATGGACGCCCTCGTCAACCTCGCTTGCGAAATTCCAATCCCTTTGCGCCCCCCAAGTGTCGACTCGCCCCTGGCTGGCCCCGCTGCCCCCCTCCCCCCCCCCCCCCCCCCCCGATGTCCATAGCATCGCGCGTCCACGCGTCGGCGTCGAGCCCGTCCTTGCGCGCGCCCCGCCCCCGCGCATGACGTGCAGTTTCTGGCTGTTTTCAAGCGCGAGCGAGGCAGGGGTCCTGTGGCACTCCTGGTGCCAGATCTGGAACCAGCCGCCAGTGCGCGCCGCGATGCTCATCGTCGCGGTAGCGCGCTGCAGGCCAGACTCAGCGTGAAAACCGGGCCATACTTCCCCAGGGCAGCACCAAAGGCGCCCTTTGCTCTCACTGAGTGGCTAGGTCGCATATGTTTCCGGGTCTGCCAGGGCCCGCGGTCAGGCTGATTTTGGAAGGCAAAGTACTTCTGGAAAATGCGGAATATAAGTCGTGCGTTTCTTGAAACGCCCGCAGTCCGTCTCCCTCGCGGATTCCCGACGACTTTCCCTGGGGGCCCACCCCCGTCACACTCATGGTTGAATGCGCATAGGTCTACGGCATACACGTGTGTATCTACATTTATACACAGCACGTGTCGTCCAGCTGATGTGTAATTGCTTCGGATATTATGAAGTTCTCCTCTACACTGATACTCCTCTTGATTGGCCTGGCTGGCTGTCGTGTACTCCGCTGCTGTTAACCTGCCGGTGAAGGTCCTGACTATGTCATCGTCGCAATCATCGCATAGCGCTCCATCCATTGTGTCCGAATTGCCACCGGCTTGTCTACGCTCCGCGACAGCGCGACTGTGAATATTGAGCTGCGCGAGCGCGTTTGACAGCTTCTCGCTCCACTCGCGAAGCTTGCTTAAGTTTCATGCGAGCGGTTTGAGCTGATGCGTGACTTTGAACTCGCTAACCGGCTTCTGTCCTCGCACGTAGTTTCGAAATCTGTCCACAGGTCACCTGACTGCTCGCTGCACTGCTAGAACAACTGAAATCTCGCCGCCCTGGCAAGGATAAGTAGAGAGGCGGCATGGGTCGGCCCTCGGGCGTTGTTGAAGCTATAGAACACGATGACCACCCTCTGAAATTCTAGAACCCTCTCTTCATCAGACATCTCTGAAACCAGAGCAAGGCGACGATTCAAAGACTGCTCGATCGTTTGCGCTGGGACCCGGATATCCATAATCGCGCGCCAAACAGGATCACCGCACAGGTAGCAAGACTGAGCATGAAGGCGTCCCTCGCAAACGAACTTACGCGGCATCTTCATATGAATCATCCTCCCTTCCGTCGTCATGGACATCTGCGAAGAAATGGGGGCATGTTCGATAAAGCGTCGCGCACCATGGGCCAACATTGGGTCACCAACTTGCGCGCATACTGGGGCAACGCGATCCACGTGACCCACTTATTCAAGCTCTTCAGGATCGTGTCGCCGAGATTCCCATGGAAAGTGCTACGCCCGAGGGGCCACGTCATTGTCTTGTGTGCGTCGGCGCGTGGGTTATCTTGCTGCGCCTCCCCAGGAGCTTGGATCGCGATCGACTAGCTGGTTTGTGCCCTCCTCCGGGTTTTTAGCGACAAGGGGTTAATTTGTTACGTCGTCCCTAACAGTATATCGATGTCCTTATTTGTGACAGTCCTAACCTCTGCTGCCGTGTCTCTCCTTTTCCCTGTGAGCTCTGTATTTCCCTTACGTTTGGCTCTTAAGGCTACTTTCGCATAACACTAGTCGCCCCCATAGTACGCTGCATCGCATAATTCGCTGAATGTCGTTTGGTTCAATTTGAGCCACAAATCGCAATTTTGGGGCGTGCTTGACCAGGGTGCGGGCCTCCTGGATGTGCTGGGGTAGCTGCTGCCGCTGCTGCCATCAACCTTGCTCCGCTCGGTACTTTTTGGGGCGCTCCAAATTCTCCCTTGTGGTCAAGACTAAGATAGGCTGCAGCATCACAATCCTAGTCCTCCTCCTCCTCCTCTTCCCCTCGTCCTCATCCTCCTTTTCTCCCTCCTCGTTGCAAAAACCGCACCCTCCTCGACCACGCGCCGGCGCCTGTGCCCTTGATGTCCAGGTCCAGCCGCCAGGCGCGGAGCACCGAGCCGCGCTTGGCCCGCAGGGACTCCTCGCTGGAGGGGGCCCACCGCGGGGGCCGCCGAGCCGCCACCGCAGCAGCCTTCAGCAATCGCGCCGCTCCACGCTGAGATCCTGGCGCCTCAATGTTTTCGAGCTGGGCGATTTCGCATTTCTTGGGGGGCCCTGGGGTCCTCACACATCAATCCGGTTCGAAAACATGATGCAGAAAGATGGGGTCTGGGGTTCCGGAGGTGGTTTTCTGCGATGTGGTACTTCTGGCGCCGACCAAAGAAGTCCGCGCGGCCCTCCGAGTCTTTATGTCTATATCACTGCTTGTTCACTAAAACGTGTTGACGCTTTGCAGACGCAGTGCCGGTTTGTTCAAAAGCGAGGAAAGGCCGAACGGCAGAGGCAATCGCAAGGCCCATCTCCGATCCGCCCCCCCCCCCCTTTCCCCCCATCCCCTCTGTCCCAAGAGTATCCTCCACACCTCTCTTCCTCTCGCTATATTTTTTCCTTATTTTCCTTCTCCCTCTTTCTCTCTCTCTTTCACAATCTTTTTTTTTTTCTCTCTCTCTCTCTCTCTCCCCCTTTCTCTCCTCTATTTGAAAGCAGCTCCACCAGACAACTACTGCTGAGCCCTCTAGGCTGACCGCCGACTGGCGTGATGCTCGGCTGCAAACACATATCGGCGCCTGGTCTCCAGCCGGATACGCTCGCCTGGCTCACACCTGACTGCGCTAACGTTTCGCCAGCGGCGACAAAGAGCCACAACTCGTGATCCACCGCCATAGTGATCCGCCACCGTGCCTCCGGCTCGCCGTGGCGGGTTCGAATGCCGACGTGGCGTCTGGCGTCCTGTGTAATTGTTGGACTCCCCCCTCGCCGCGCGCGCCACCCAAACAAGAACATCGTCCACTGCTCCGGATTGGCTCCTGGCTCCACATTCGGCATACACATCTATATATATGTATATATACAAACATAAGTATTTATCTCTCTATACATATATATATATATACATATTCGAGCCATCGCGCGCTTCGCGCGCGTTCAAGTTCTAGCTAGGTTTGATGGGCGAACGCATGAAATATCATCCTTGTCGTTTCTTACATCCAGGGACTCTCTTGGAGGCCCTGCGCAAGCCTCGGAATCGTATAGAAGGGGAACTGCGGAAACGCAGAAATCATTGAGTGCTGTTAGGTATTCGACGATTTAGAGCCTTCGAAGGCTTCCTGGGTTCTTTTCCGGGGCCTTCATTGTGGTCTGTCGTGCACGATTTCGTATATATATATATATATATATATATATATATATATATATCAAGTTTTAGTGCCTGGGCTGTGGGTTACACGTTTTCTGCATGCAAACCACGGTCTGTTGGGCTGCCTCTCGGGGTCTTCGTGCAAAAACTGGCAGGGGTGAGTTTGAACAAAGGAAGTCTACATTCCACTGCTTCAAGTCATGGGACCACGATTTCTACAATGGTTTCAGGGGCAGCAGAGAGGACACGAAGACGACCCAAGAGAGTGCCAAGACAGCGTCAGAGAGTTCAACAGCATTCCCGAAACGTTTTTGCATGTGGTTCCGCAGTCTTGATGGGGCTCGAGGAAGAGGATAGGGAGTAGGAGTCCCAACTTGAAAAAAAAGGAATCTCTGTAACTCACTTTTTGTCAAGTTCCTAGGTCTTGGAGCGTTGGAAGCGGGAAAGCGTGAGAAGGCAAAAAGCGTCGACATTAACTATGGAAAGCAACGATGTTACACTCTTCGGGCTCTCTCGGGAAGGCTCTCGAAGCTCTTGGCTGGTTGGGGGGCCTCGTCGGGGATTTGTTGGGAGCCTCTCAGGGGCCTGGGTGTGTTGGAGGCCTCGGGGGGGTCTCCGAGTCCTCTCGGAGTTCTCTGGCGGCCTCCTACTCCCGCTCTTGGGCTCATCTGGGGCCTGTCCTTGGATGGTCTAGAGCTGTCCGGGGTGCCTCTTCGGTAGTCTTGGGACCGTCTTGGCCCGTCTTGGGGCCGTCTTGGGGGCCTCTTGGGCGGTCTTGGGGGCCTCTTCGGCCGTCTTGGAGCGTTGGAAACATGAAGTGGTGAGAAAGCCAAACACATGGCAAAATCAAAAAAACGATTTTGGGTTCTCTGGGCGTTCTCGGGAGGCCTCTCGGAGCTCTCTTGAGGTCTCCGAAAGCTATCCTGGGTTGCTTGGGAGCGTTGTGGGCAATTATGTTACGTTGTGGGGTCGTCTGAGGGTCGTCTTGGACTGCCTTTGGGCATTGCGGGTGCTCCCTGGGCGGCAGGGAAGCGCGGTACCGGGAGCGTACACGAGATGTTCCGGGAAGGTGCGGGACCCCCGGGAGGAGGGGGCGCGCATTTGTTGAATTTGGAAAAAATCAATGACATTCCTTTGTTTGTTCCCCATATCCTAAGATGGGGTTCTTGTTATTACTTGGACGCCTCCTACTCCTCATTACTCTTCTTTTCCTCCTCCTCCTCCTCCTCCTCCTCCTCCTCATACCTAGACTTACTCATACACAGACTTACTCATACACAGACTGACTCACACTCAGACGTTATCATATTAACTTACTCATACTCAGACCTACTCATACTCAGACCTACTCATACTCAGACTTACTCCTGCCGAGAGTCACTCATACCCACAACTCCCACAGAACAAGAACTTCCAGCACGCAAGAGTTGACGGCGCAGCGGTAGCTGCCAGGGGGCCGCCCTCGGGGCGGGCGCAACTCGGGCATCCCTCGCAGGCGCCTGTCGGCAGGCCGTCCTGAGGAGGCTGTCCTTGCCCTGCAAGGTGCGGGCACGCCTTCCGCAGCCCCAGTTCTGACACCGCCGAGCCATTCTTCCCCAGAGGAGCGAGCGAGGGGAGGCCCCAGGATGAAGGAGCCCTGGGACACACAAATAAATACACACAAATTACGGGACCCCCCACAGCTTCTCATACTCTCGGGGTCTTTGTCTCCCACCCCAGATTTTCCTCTATTTCCTGGGGAACCGACGACTCACTGTGTCTGTGTTTTTTCCTCCCCGCCCGACCAGGAGGAGGTCCGCCACCCGAGTCCGACGCCCCTCCCGCGCCCGCCCCCTTTGGCCCTCACGGCCGGTGGAGCCTGCAGAGGCACCGGCGTGCACGGACGCGCTGCCCGCGACGCTGCACACGCTGCGGGCATCCTCGGGACGCGCCCGCCGGGCTCTCTCTCGCCAGGCGGGGGAGGTCCGCCCACGCAGCTCCGGCCTCCGGCCTCGGCCTCGCAGTCGGCCCGGGCGTGCCCGCGCCGCTCTGCCGTGAGGAGCGGCCGCGCCGGGGCCGCCTCGGTGAAGGTCGGCAGCCGAACTTCAAGGTCCGATCGGTGCACCACCAGACTGAAAACCGGTGGTTCCACAGGCGCCCGCGATCAGGATCAGCACCTCCACGTTGAAGGCGGCCGCTCCACCTGGAATGACGTCAACTCTACCTGGGGAGCCAACATATATCCATCCTGAGAAACCGCGGCGACACCAACGGCTCCGTGAGAATTGGCATCTCCACCGGGAAGATCACCGACTCAACATTGGCGTAGGGGCAGCAGCACTGCCGCAAGGATCGGCAATCCCTGTTGCGGTGTTCAACGCTTCCACGAAGAACAAGCAACCGCAATATTGCACGGGATATCGTCAGCTCGAGCTGATTAGAGCGGTCCACACGTGAACTCGCGATGGCCTTCACGCCGACCGCCGGTATCTTGGAGAGCATGACTTTTCTCTCAGCTGTTAGCGGGGTCGATCGTGATAGCGGGCTCAGCGGCGCCAACTCATCAGCCCATCGGCGAGGTGGATCGGCGAGGTGGCAGGTTCGGAAGTCGCTGTGGCACACCCCGTCCACCAAAAAGCGGATGCGGGGAGGGCACAACGTCCGCCAGCCGAAGCCAGGAATGACATGGCATAGGGAAGACACGAAAGGCATGGCGAAGTTCCTTTGCCCATTGCTCCCAATATCCGAGAGAGCGTGATCCACCGCCGCTTTACTCTGGAAAATTGCCAACCTTTTCCTCCGGAACCCGGGGGTCGCCTCCGAAAATCCCCCCCCCCTGCTGGACCCCCCCCCCTCCCCCTAAAACCCCCCTCCCCCCCCCCCCCCCTCCCCCTCCCCCCCCCTCCCCCCCCCCCCCCAAAACCGGGGGGGGTCACTACCGGTTGAACCCCCCCCCCCTCGAAAACCGGGGGGGGTCACTACCGGTTCGACCCCCCCCCCAACGCACCGCCAGCAAACGACTCCCGGTCCCTACCACCGTCCGCATCACATCCCCCACTGTTGTTCCCAGCACCACTGTCCTCACCACCACTGTCCCCCACCACCGTGTCCCCCACCCCCACCACTGTGCACCACTGTTCCACTCTCTCCCCACTCCACGGCCCCAACCACTGCCCGACTATCCCCACTGTCCCCACTGTCCCACTGACTCCTCCGCTGTCCCACTGAGCTGTCCCACTGTTCCCACCACTGTCCCCACTGTCCCCACCACTGTCCCCACTGTACCTCTGTCCCATTGTCCCACCGCCGTCCTCGCCACCGCCTTCACCACTGTCCCCACCACCATTGTACCCTCCACTGTCCCACTGTTTCCACCTCATTCCCATTGTCCCCACACCACTGTCCCCACCACCACCGTCCCCACCACTGTCCACTGTCCCCCCTGTTCCCACCATTGTCCCCACCACCCGTCCCCTACCCTGTCCCCACCAACACCGTCCCCACCACTGTCCGCACCCCCACTCGGTTTTCGAGGGGGGGGGGTTCGAACCGGTAGTGACCCCCCCGTTTTCGAGGGGGGGGGGGGGTTCGAACCGGTAGTGACCCCCCCCCTTTTCATGATGAACTGGGGGGGGGGGGGGAGGGGTTCGAACCGGTAGTGACCCCCCCCGGTTTTCCGGAGGGGGGGGGGGGAGGGGTTCGAACCGGTAGTGACCCCCCCCGGTTTTCCGCCAGCAGCGGTAGAACACGCTCTTTCCAATATCCAAATCACGCTATAAGGGAATTTACCCGTGTGCGAGTTAGCCGACGCCCCAAGAGGCCCCCCCCAAAGAACCCAATAGGCATCCAAGAGGCCTCTCGCACACGACGCAGCCAGGCTGGCGCGACAAGCCAAACATGATGAACTTAACACGCCTGGCTTCAAGATATGGAGGATGTGGAGGAATCGGAGGCCGAGAAGGAAGAGGATGAGAAATTCATAGTCGGGCTGATGTGGAAACGATAACGACGACGAGCACGCCGACTATGACAGCGAAGCGCACGATGAAGGCTAGAAAGATACGGCCAATCACGGGGAGAGCAACGAGGACGAGGATACTACAATGACAAGGACAGGGATCGGAAATGGGGGGGTGAGAACGAAGTGAAACGGGAAGCCCCCCAACAGGAAATCGGTTTCGGTTTCGGGTTCGTGTCGCGCATGCAAGCGAGGCGAAGCTGCGTGGGTGGGCGAGAGGAATGACTCCGCCGTGGCAGGGCGGGTAAAAACAACAGACAGCCTCTCCGGTGGGCGGGCGTGGCTGATGGTGTCCCGCCGTGGTGTCCAGCCGTGGTGTCCCTCTGTGTCCCGTCGGTGTCCCGTGGGTGTCCCGGGCAGTGGCCGGGGGTGTCCTGCCGTGGTGTCCCGTGGGTGTCCCGTGGGTGTCACGTGGGTGTACCATGGGTGTCCCGTGGGTGTCCCGTAGGTTTCCTGTCGGTGTCCCGTCGGTGTCCCGTAGGTTTCCCGTCGGTGTCCCGTCGGTGCCCCGTCGGTGTCCCATCGGTGTCCCGTCGGAGTCCGCCGTCGGTGTCCCGTCGGTGTCCTGTCGGTGTCCAGTCGGTGTCCCGTCGGTGTCCCGCCGTCGGTGTCACGTCGGTGTCGCGTCGGTATCCCGTCGGTGTCCTGATTGGTCTCCCGATTGGTGTCCCGATTGGTGTCCAGTGGGTGTCCCGATTGGTGTCTCGATTGGTGTCCTGACGGTGCCACAGTGGTGTTGCGATGGAGCCTCGATGGTGTCCTAGTGGTGTCCTAACAGGTGCCCCGATTGGTGTTCTGATGGTGTCCTGGTGGTGTCCTGATCTTGTACTGGTGGGCGTTTCGACTGGTGTCCCGAGGGTGCCCCGGCGGTGGGTGGTGTCCTGATGGTGTCCCGATGTGGCTCCGCCGGTGCCCTGATGGTGTCTCGGTGGTGTGTCGGTGCCCCAGTGGTGCCCCGATCGTATCGCGGTGGTTTCCAATATCGCCAGTGAGATCAATTAGCAGACTTGAGATGGAGGTTGGAGAGAACCTGAGACGCCAAACGGTTTACCAACACCCAGCACTTGGTCGCTGTCATCATGCCACACTCATCACCACACTCGCCCTCTCATCACCACGGAGAATCATCGCCGCTGCCTTCACCACATTCATCACCACTACGATCACCGCACTCACCACCGCACTCGCCACCACCACGACGCCACAAGCATCATCACACTCATCACCGCACTGGCCACCACCACACTCATATCACACTCCTCATCGCCACGGTCATCGTCAAACAGAAGTGTATGGGACCAGATAATTGCCGCCGTTGTCATCGCCATCATGTTTTTCTCCAGCATCGCCAGTGTGTTAGCCCATTGCCATCATGCATTATCGTTAGCATCGTCGTCTTGTGCCATCGCTAACTCGCGCATCACCACCATCGTCAACGCCACAATCATCGCAGTTGTCCTCACTTGGTTCTTTCCCCTAAACCTCCCTATGACCAGAAGTGTGGTCTCGTACAGGCACTGAAGCCAAGGGACGGGCAATGTAATCATGCCTGCACGAAGACTGAGCATAGTCATCCGATTGAGAGAGAGAGAGAAGAAGAAGCGCCAGCTCGAGTTTGAGGAGCAACGAAATCGGTGTCCAGGAGCGCGCTGCGGGCCATCTCGCGCGTGTGCCTCCGCAGGCGCAGCAGCTGCTCCAGCGAGATCACCTCGGCCACCTCCTCGTCCACGGGGCCTCCGCAGGGCCGGGCAGACGGGGCTCGCCCCCGAGCCCGGGGGCCAGCCCCGGTGCGGGTCAGGGCGCGCAGGAATTACACTCCAGGCGATGCTTAAGAAAACCCACGTGTTCGGCCAGAGTCTCGATTATTCTTAATGTTTCAATGAAAATCCTAACATTTGAATGGACATTTTGGGCTTTTATTCCAGTTCTGAGACTATGAATTTCTTAACCCATGATTTCTTAAGCATTTCGCAGGGTGTAAGGCGGGCAGGGTAGAACATCTGTCCCCTCGTCACCCTTCCCCCCAGGACCTCGGTTGGTGTCAGGCTCGTTTTCTTGTCATTTTGACTTTTTGTTTTATCCTCGTCTTCAACTTGTCGGCCACCCGCCCACCAAAACTAGACCAATCAATGGCAATCACCATCAGACAAAACAAAAAACCATACAAACCGGATCCGAGCCGGAAACGGCGCGGAAGCGAACCCCAAACAAAAAGACAATACACGGACCCCAAAACAACCCCAACAAATAAAAAACGAGTCTGAAAGCTGTGTGAATAACGCCCTCAATATGTTCAATCTGATCTACATAAGCCCAAGACCTTGCTCGGCAAGCGAATCTCAGAATGTTTCCACGCGAAAACTGGAATTCCAAAACCAGCGAAACCCAGAATCCATCCCGACACAATTCAGAAACTGGAGAAAAAATATCCTGGCGAAGGACCCAACCATATGCAATTGTGAGTACCGCAGTTGTGAATATCTTCTTCGGTGGAGCCCCCTACGGGGCCACGAAACGTACGAGGGGTGTGCCGAAATGGGTGTGCGGGACGCATGCGGGCACACCCACTGGGGCCTTCGGTGGAGCTCCCTATGCGACCACAAAACGTGCGAGGGGTCACGAAACGCGTGAGGGGTGTGCCGAAATGAATGTGCGGGACGCATGCGGGTACACCCACTGGGGCCTTCGGCGGAGCTCCCTTTGGGGCCACGAAACGTGTGAAGGGTATACCGACATGGGTATGCGGGACGCATGCGGGCGGCAACACTGGGACCTTCGGTGAAGCCCCTCTACGGGGCCACGAAATGTGCGAGGGGTGTGCCGAAATGGGTGTGCGGGACGCATGCGGGCACACCCATTGGGGCCTTCGGTGGAGCTCCCTATGGGACCACGAAACGTGTGAGGGGTCACGAAACGCGTGAGGGGTGTGCCGAGATGCATGTGCGGGACGCATGCGGGCACACCCACTGGGGCCTTCGGTGGAGCTCCCTACGGGGCCACGAAACGTGTGAAGGGTATGCCGACATGGGTGTGCGGGACGCATTCCCTATGGGACCACGAAACGCGTGAGGGGTGTGCCGACATGGGTGTGCGGGACGCATGCGGGCGGAAGCACTCTGGGGCCTTCGGTGGAGCTCCCTATGGGGCCACGAAACGTGTGAGGGGTGTGCCGAATTGGATGTGCGGGACGCATGCGGGCGGCAGCACTGGGGCCTTCGGCTGAGCTCCCTTTGGGGCCACGAAACGTGTGAGGGTGTGCCGAATTGGGTGTGCGTGACGCATGCGGGCGGCAACACTGGGGCCGTTGGCGGAGCTCCCTACGAGGCCACGAAACGTGTGGGGGGTGTGCCCAATTGGGTGTGCGTGACGCATGCGGGCGGCAACACTGGGGCCGTCGGTAGAGTTCCCTATGGGACCAAGAAACGTGTAAGGGGTGTGCCGAAATGTGTGTGGGTGGCGGACGCATGCGGGCGGCAGCACTGGGGCCTTCGGCGGAGCTCCATATGGGGTCACGAAACGTGTGAGAGGTGTGCCGAATTGGGTGGGGGTGACGCATGCGGGCGGCAGCACTGGGGCCGTCGGCGGAGCTCCTATGGGGCCACGGAGCGTGTGAAGGGGTGTGCCGACTTGGGTGTGGGTGACGCATGCGGGCGGCAGCACTGGGGCCTTCGGCGGAGCTCCCTTTGGGGCCACGAAACGTGTGAGGGGTGTGCCGAATTGGGTGTGCGTGACGCATGCGGGCGGCAGCACTGGGGCCTTCGGCGGAACTCCGATGGGGCCACGGAACGTGTGAGGGGTGTGCCGAATTGAGCGTGCGTGACGATGCGGGCGGCAGCACTGGGGCCGTTGGCGGAGCTCCCTATGGGGCCACGAAGCGTGTGAGGGGTGTACCGAATTTGGTGTGCGTGACGCATGCGGGCGGCAGCACTGGGGCCTTCGGCGGAGCTCCCTTGGGGCCACGAAACGTGTGTGGGGTGTGCCGAATTGGGTGTGGGTGACGCATGCGGGCGGCAGCACTGGGGCCTTCGGCTGAGCTCCCTTTGGGGCCACGAAACGTGTGAGGGGTGTGCCGAATTGGATGTGGGTGACGCATGCGGGCGGCAGCACTGGGGCCTTCGGCGGAGCGGAGCTACGATGGGGCCACGAACGTGTGAGGGGTGTGCCGAATTGGGTGTGGGTGACGCATGCGGGCGGCAGCACTGGGGCCTTCGGCGGAGCTCCTATGGGCCGCGAAACGTGTCCGGGGTGTGGGCCGCTGTGGGGCCTTCGGCGGAGCTGGAGCCACGCGTGTGAGGGGTGTGCCGAAATGGCGTGGGTGACGCATGCGGGCGCGGCACTGGGGCCTTCGGTGGAGCTCCCTATGGGGCCACGAAACGTGTGAGGGTGTGCCGAAATGGGTGTGCGGGACGCATGCGGGCGGCAGCACTGGGGCCTTCGGTGGAGCTCCCTGGTGTGGGCCCGAATGGCGGTGCGGGGCGAAGCCGGTGGGCAATCTATGGGTGTGTGAGGGGTGTGCCGAATTGGGAGTGCGTGACGCATGCGGGCGGCAGCACTGGGGCCTTCGGCGGAGCTCCCTATGGGGCCACGAAACGTGTGAGGGGTGTGCCGAATTGGGTGTGCGTGACGCATGCGGGCGGCAGCACTGGGGGTGGAGCTCCTTGGGGCCACGAAACGTGTGAGGGGTGTGCCGAATTGGCGGAGCTCCTATGGGGCCACGAAACGTGTGAGGGGTGTGCCGAATTGGGTGTGGGTGACGCATGCGGGCGGCAGCACTGGGGCCTTCGGCGGAGCTCCTATGGGGCCACGAAACGTGTGAGGGGTGTGCCGAATTGGGTGTGGGTGACGCATGCGGGCGGCAGCACTGAGGCCTTCGGCGGAGCTCCTATGGGGCCACGAAACGTGTGAGGGGTGTGCCGAATTGGGTGTGGGTGACGCATGCGGGCGGCAGCACTGGGGCCTTCGGCGGAGCTCCTATGGGGCTACGAAGCGCTGTACTGGGTGGGTGAAACGCAGGGAAGAGGGGGAGGAGGGAGGATGAGGAGGAGGAGGAGGAGGAGAGGAGGATGGAAGAGGCGGGAACGCGGGGCACCGTCTCTTCAAAACGAGGACCCAACACCACAGGATGGTTGGGAAAAACCCAAAACCCCGAGACACCAAACCCGGAATCCAATCTGGCCCAAACCTGGACTCTCCCATAGAACAGAAACTCCACGCCAAGAGCCCGGAATTACAAGAGAGCCGCAAGGTCTCGACGAGGCTTGCGTGGCACCCCACTCTGCTGGACCTTCCAGGAGCCCACGTGAGCGCCGACAATTGCGCAGTTCGCAACGCAGCGCTCCCAGGAGCCGCGAGATCTCGACGGGTTGCGCGTGACAACTCACTCCGCTGGACCTCCCAGGAACCCACGGCAATGACGAGACTGACACAATTCCCTTGCGCTGTTTTTTCAATCGTTGACCACTGGGCCCCTGACTATGAGAACTTCCGCGCGGATAGAAAGTCCTGACGCACTCAGCGTTCTCAATTCTAGGGCAGGCCTGCGCGGGACTATGGGCGCGCGAAGCGGCAACGCCACAGGGCGGAAAAGGATACCGCTGCCAACTCTGTTGTGCCAGGCTCTTCTGCTGTAGCTTCACCGGAAGTTCCCTCCACCAGAGCAGGACTTTTTTTTGCCCGCAAAGCTCCAGCTGCCGAGGGTGAACGCCGGGCGTCCAAGCAGAGGCAGGCGACAGCGAAACCTGGCCCCTACGTGCAGGGCGACCTGCACAGGCTACAGACGCGGGGACCTGTAGCGCGGGGGCAGAAGGCTCGTCCTGGCCCCTGTTAGGCCAAGACAGCCGAACAGCCCAGGAAAGAGACCCCAGCGACCCCGTGGGTCAGGGGTACGAGGCGAAAGAAGAAACATGCTAGTCCGAGTCCGAGGAAGAAGAAACCTCAGGACACCCACCAGCAGCTCGGACTAGTCTGTTGACTTTCGCTTGAAAAGTAGCGGTGGCCGACCTAGCGGGAGCAATCGGCTCCAGGCCGTCCGTATCCGCCAAAACAGCTCGCTCCTGTCGGGACGCAGCCCGAGAGGCATCACCCCCGCTCGGGGGTGAAAAGGCATTTGACTTCACAGCAGGACCGAGGGAAGACGACGACGACGAAAACTCCACGACTCTATCAGGCTGTGAGTCCAATAAAAACTTGGCGGTGACCTCTTCCCCATCGAAACCCTCAAAAAGGGGGTCGGCCTATCGTCCGCCTGAAAATAGACGATCGAACTTTCCGACGGATTCGGCTTCCCTTGGAGATCTGGAACTGCTCCCGTCGACACGTCTTGCGACATTACACGGGGGGCGACACAGAATTACTGCTATTCCACTCTGCTCCTCGCGTGCAACGCCGAGGTGCGGACAAAAAAACGACTCCCCTGCTACCCGCCACGTGGCGACGCCTTGGGGGCGAAACAAATTCCGCTCTACTCCGGGAGTGGCAACGCCGCGGGGAGGACAATGAAGCATTCCACTCGACTCGCCGCCCAGCAACACCTCGGGAGCTGGGCGAAAACCATGCTCCACTCGACGCGTTGATTCTGAAATCTCCCGCGCGAATGGCCTGGCACACAGGGAGCTCTCAGTTCTAACGCGGGCCTGCGCGGGCCAATGGACGCGCGGAGCAGCAACGTCACGGACCGGAAAAGAACCGGCTCCGCTCGACGCGCCACGCGGCAACGCACGGGCAGCGAAACAAAGCT